GTCAAGATTATCGGACCACACAAATGATGTTTCGGGTTTACATCCGGCGATATTCAGTACCAAGAACGACACGTGATTTTGAACCGTGGGACCACGCTGATTTCGAGGAAGGAATTTGTTACGTTAACAATCGGAATTATGTCTGGAGGAGATAGATTATCTCGAAATTTCAAGGATCGTTTTTGCGTTCAATCCGGGGAGGTCCGGAATGCAAGACAAGCTATCGATGTTCATGGTTTCCGTTCGCACCTCCAACCAAGGTCGAGGGTACGACGGATCAAGACGATGGGAGCTGGCCCATCAAGAAGATGACAGAGAAAAAAGGGGGGGGGGGGGGGGGGGAACAACATGGCTTTCGCCTACAATTGCTGCCTCAAAGCAGCAATCCCAAAATGACGGGAACCATTTGCAAGGGAGCGGATGGACAGTCGTATCCCGCATGCACTGGGGATAATCCGATGATGGTAATGTTAATTAATCCGCCCGTTAACACGGGACAATTCGATGATAGGGGGGGGGGGGAGGGGGAGGAGAACGTGTAAAAAATTCTGTTCGGAACGTAACACTATGAATTTAAACAATTTCAATCTGGCGAACATTCCTTCGAGAACGTTCCTTTGTTCAAAATTTGCCGTTATCGCAAGGCAGTTCTTAGAATTTTCGATACAATAGTGTTTATTGCTTCGAACGACCCTTAATTTTCGAACGGCGGTCGAACGTTCGCGACGTTCGCTTTTATAAGGGTTCTCAATTCTTACTTTCATTGTTTAAATTCATTTTCATCCATCCACTCTCTCACACTATCGTTACGATCAGGTAATGGTGATCCTTGTTGGACCGGCTGACGCTTTGTGCAATAGAGAGAGAAAGAGTTTTCTAACAAAGGAATTATTACGATTTTCCCGTTTCTACGCAGTTAGCAAAGGAAATTCCCGGAATGCGAAGCACTGGCTAACTGCGTAGCGCTGATGTTGTGCTACAGCTGTCTCTCTCTCTCTTTCTCTCGATCTAACCCGAGTTTTTGTGCATTATTACTGTATTATATTACTATGGCTGGCGACGATAGTTTCAAGGAGGGTCACGCAAACTATTGAAAAGAAGAAAATAGAAACGACCTTTCCTCGTGTACCTCGCATGAGAAATTCTCGTAACCCTCGAAAGGGCTTGACAAGATACACGATTCTAGGGTAGAGCAGGTAAAGAAGAGAAAGCGATAGAGGAAGTCAAAAATAGAAAAGAATTAAACTCAAACTCTTCCGTGTACACCCCTGCATGAGGAATCCTCGTAACCTCGAAAGGCTTGATAAGAATGTACAAGGTCGAGGAGGAATGAAAAGATTGGCGGAAAACCGAAACACCCGCCCGTACGCCCCTTACATGAGAAATTCTCGTAACCCAAAAGGGCTTGATAAGGGACGCAAGGCGGATAAATTTCAAATTTTCCGCCGGGACGTAACACAAGCTTTCCTCTACTTCCAGAGTGTTGCCTGCTCTTGACCGTAGTCAGAGAAGATCTGCACTGATACCGTGTGGAACGCCTCTATTGACTTGGCGCTTTTTTTTATTATAGGGTTCCTCTAGATTTCTGGAATTCCCCATCACGTGACGGCCGAGTACCCCTGCTCCTTAATCTATGCGGTATCCCAACTCTAGATTCTCACCCCACCGCGAGATCCCCGGGGTTGCGCTGGCGCACACGTGGTCGCTCGTTGATAATTTATCGATATTCTGTTTTATCGGCCTACTTACCGACTCTACGTTTATCGGCTCATTTAATAGACTCAGTTATCGATAAATGAAAATAATTTATTACAAAATTTATACGATACAAATTAAACTAAATACTGAATATAAATAACGAAAATTAAATAAAACATTTTGTATGAAACTAAAATATAAAAATTTGATTATAATTATAAAAATGAAACGAAAAAGGTGCTGCGTCTTCTTATCGGGTCGTTACACATTCATTAACAAACTATCCGAATAGCAGCTGAGGAATCGTATGGCTTTCTCGACTTCGGTATACAGACCGTATAATTTCAAAGATGGAACGTAATTTTTCTCAGCTCTGTTTTCGTCACGCATACACTTATGGCTGCGGCTATTGCACTCCTTGTGCTCACCAAATATATGGATGGAATACTTAAAATGTCCTTCTGAAGTTCTCTAGCTTTGATGTGCTGAGGCCCTGTTTCTTATTTTCGCGCATCGACTGCTAAAACGACAGCTCTACGAATATTTAAAATATTGTTTTTAATTATATTTCGGTACGCAACGAAGCCACGATCTCTGTGACCCTTCGTTTGCGTTTTCTCAGCAACGTGTCTCAACTTTTTACATAAATTACGAAGTAAGTGATTGGTACACTCAATTTCTTTAACGGTTACTTTTTGCTCTCGGTAAGGTCTGTTATTTACAATAGTATGATATACGTTACTATCACCATCGGCAACAACCGTTCTATATATCAAGCCATGCATTTCAATGCTGTATTTGAAACCTTCAGCGATAGCATCACTTTCCATGCTACTAGAACTGGCATAACGATCATAGTTTTTATAACATTTATGATGTTTTGGGGATGTAGCTTTTCGTTCTGCTATATCACATATTGTGCAGTATTTATTGCGTATGCCGATAAACAGAACTTTTCCTGTGCGGAAACCTACAACGGCACCGACACCGGAAAGTGAATTATAATTCGTTCCATACGATCTTTTCATCCAGCTACCATCTGCTATGACAGTTATGTATGGAATACCTTCGACGACTTCATTGTTTTCAAAAGCTAATCGTCTTTCTTCTTCACCTGCTGCCTGCATGGTATGCATTGCGCTTTTCATAAACTCATCTACAAGTTTTTCACGGTACCTCCGGTACGTAGTTTCAGCCATGCAGGGCATGTTCAGCGCATAATTCTTCTAATTGTGCATACCCGATTCCGACTGTAACAGTCGCGGTCGTCATGGCCTCATTTATATTCATTATATCTGAATTCATTGGTTCAGACCAAACAGTATCTTCGTAATTGCACATTTGGCACTTGAAGAAAAACTGTGTGAGGCACCCATGCTGGCGACTACCGATCATTTTCCAATCGCGAAAATGACATTCAATACCTCGCGCATGATTGTCGAACGTTCTATGTATTTCATTCCAAAAGAACTGAACGTCAACAATGCGGCGGCCGTCTGGCACATTTTCCGAAATACGTCCCATATCTTCGTGTCCGACGTCTACGACGAGATTGTCGTCGCTATCGTCCAGGACGTTTTGTACTTGTACATCTTTATTTGCTAAAAGGACGTTTTTCGATTATGTGATGCGCCCCGCATCATCTTTATTTTCATTTGCTAAAAGGACGTTTTTTTGTACTTGTACATCTTTATTTGCGAAAAGGACGTTTTTCGATTCTGAGATGCGCCCCGCATCTTCATTTTCGAAATATTTATCTTCGAAAACTGCATCAGCTTGAATCGTTGTTGTCGACGATTCCCATTCTTTTCGTCGCCTGCAAAGTAAAACGAATGTAGGACAATTCACACAAGTTACTGAAATGTACATATAAATTGTTAGCACTTACAGTTTTCTATAAGCTTTTTTGAGAGAGAGTCTTTTCCTTAACAGCAATCCGTGACGAGTGCTATTTTTTTTATTTCCCATTTGTGCTTATTTTTTTCACAAATGCTTGGAAATTTTCTCAATAATATATATGTATGGCTTCTATGCGAGGACGTCTTATATATATGTACGTCTTCTATGCGAAGATGTCTTATTGTTAGAAAGAAATGGATAACAAAGACAGCCATGGCAACGCGTTAAAAAAAACGAAACGCCAACGCGCTCTCGTTTTACAATTTCACTGGCGTCGTTGAACTTGGAGCGTACGGACTGTTTCGGAGCGAAAAAAAAGTGAAAAGAAAATGGATTTACAAGGAGACAGTAAGAGTTTCTTGTTTTCTTTACTTCGCGAGTGTCATTGACAATTATAATAAGGTGACCATTTGTAACAAAAATATTTTTTTCTTTGTCTCATATACAGTGGGTTTATGTGAGCCTATAATGAAAATTTAAAATATGTCTTTCGTAGATTCAAATGAGTTATGTGCATGCTTAAAATTTCGACAAATATAACACACGATTATTCCAACAATTATTGCAAGAATTCTTGCAGAAACCGTTGCAATAGTCGTCTGTTTCATTGTCTCTTGGAAACGCGTCTAGAAAAGGCAATTTTCGAACATTTTCATTTCAGCCTGTGATGAAAATTTAAAATATGACACTTGTAAAAAATATGTTATGAGGACGCTAAAAATTTAATCCAGATCGGTCAATTAAAATTTCAGAGAATTGCGACTTCTTAGATGAAAAGTCACAATTTTCAGAAATAAATTACTTGTAACTTCTTAGTGCATTGACCAATCTCGATGAAATTTTTAGCATACACATAACATATTTTTTACAAATATCACATTTTTTTCGTCACAGGCTGAAATGAAAAAGTTCGAAAATTGCCTTTTCTAGACGCGTGTCCAAGAGACAATGAAACAGACGACTATTGCAACGGTTTCTGCAAGAATTCTTGCATTAGAATAATCGTCTGTTATATTTGTTGCAGTGAAGTTGGCCACACATACATTCACTAACACATTCACGCTTTTGTCTTCCGGAGTATCATCCACGTTATTCAATTTTTTTTAGATGATAAACAGGAAGATAAGAAACCGCAGCCGGAAATGCTGTTGCAGCTGCAGCAGCAGGTACAACATCTGTGGTTGCGGACGCAGCCGCAGAAACCGCGGCAACCGCAGCCGGATCCGCTGCTGCAGCTGCAGCAGCAAATACATGAAATACGAATGAAAATGGAACAGTTACAACATATAAAACAACATGCTGGATATATCGTAAGTCGTTTTTTTTACGTTCCTGTTTGTACGATTTCTAATATTCTTTATTTATATATAATAACATAATATTTTTTTTTTCAGCCACAACAAACGGCACAGGTACAGCAGATCAAAAATTATCAGCGGTCGCAGCTATTAGATTTATACCAACCAGATGAGTATATCGTAAGTCGTTTTTTTACGTTCATGTTTCTACGTTATTTCCTTCGTCTATCCACTGTTTATGAATAATAACATAATATTTATTTTCCCAGACTTACAGAAGAGAAAGGCAACAAATGATAAGGCAACACCGCCGTGAAATCAACAGATTGCGGCGGGGGGAGGCAAGGCCCCTGTATATTACAGTATAATATATTATGCTGGACGATTTAATTAATCATGTTGATCTGACGGACTGGATTTACCGGAGATTATGCAAAAGTTAAATATTGAATGACTGAAAATGCTACCTATTTGTTGAGTGTATGTATGTGTGATGATATGGGTTCCTGATTTGCATGATCAGTTGGTTTGACCTTCTTGATCTGCCTGATTGGGTAAGGGTACAAGTCGTTTAACGCTCCGGTCCAGTGTGGTTGTAGCTGTCTTAATCGTGACGGCACGAACGATGCCATCAGAGCCTGGGTGGACTTTGATGACTCTGCCGAGGGGCCAGTGCAAGAGTGGGACCAACTCCTCCCTTAGCAGGACGATTGTGTCCTTTTTTATCGGATGATCCCCCTTTGTCCATTTAGTGCGGGTGGTCAGTTCGTTGAGGTATTCTCAATGCCATCTTTTCCAGAAATGTTGCTTTACTTTCTGGACGTGTTGCCAGCTGGACAAGCGGTTTGATGGAATGTCTCTGAAATCTCGTTCACGTAAACTTGTTAAGGAATCCCCGATCAGGAAGTGACCGGGGGTGAGGACTAGCAGGTCATTTGGATCTGATGAGATTGGTGTGAGGGGGCGAGAATTAAGGACGGATTCAATTTCGATTATTAACGTATTGAAGTTTTCAAAGGTGAACAGCTCCGTGCCTGCCACACGTTTTAGATGATACTTGAAGGACTTGACTGCAGCTTCCCAAAGTCCTCCAAAGTGGGGCGTCAGCGGAGGGATGAAGTTCCAATTAATGGAGTGTTCTGCGAGGAACGTGGTGACCTTCTCGCGATGATCATCGGATTGTAATAGTGAACGCAGTTCGTGTAATTCGTTGTTAGCGCCAACGAAATTGGACCCGTTGTCTGAATACAAGTCTGAACAGAACCCTCTTCTGGCGATGAATCGCCTGAGAGCGGCCAGGAACGCTTCCGTTGTTAGTTCGCTGACGACCTCTAAATGGACTGCCTTCACAGCGAGGCAGATGAACACTGCCACGTATACCTTGATCTTACTGCGGTTCCGGTGTTTGCGTTCTTTAATGAAGAACGGGCCGCAGTAATCGACTCCAACGCTGCTGAAAGGCCGAGACTCCGTGACCCTGGCTGCAGGTAGATCTCCCATGACGTACGCCACAGGTGGTGGTCGAGCCCGACAACAACGGGTGCAGGTCTTTATGATTCGCCATACCTGGTTTCGGCCGTCAATGGGCCAATATCTTCGTCTAATCGCGTATAGGGTAGCCTGAGTACCTCCATGTAATTGAGCAAGGTGTTCATTCTCAATTATGAGTGTGGTGGCTCTGGTCTTCGGAAGGATAATTGGATGCTGCTGTCCAAATGGCATCAATGAGTTTTTTAAGCGGCCACCGACTCGAAGAAGTCCATGGCGGTCTAAAAAGGGATTCAGACGTAGAAGTTTGCCCTTCATTCCACGACTGTCGTTCATGGATAAGTTCTTGATTTCATCTGAAAAGTAGATCCGTTGTATGAGCTTGATTATGGCATCGTGAGCGTATCTCAATTCCGTTGCTGTGAGAGCTCCTTTTAACCGGTTATTCGGTTTCCACCGAAAGCAGTGTGCAACGACTCGAATTAATTTTCCCCATGAAGAAAATCGTTCCACGATGGTAATGTCAAAGTTGGTTGTTGCCAAACAAACAATGCCTTTCTGTTCAGGTAGGTTGCTTGGACAGGGTATATTTATGTCTGGCCAAAGTGCTTCTTCGCCAAGTAGCCACCTTGGTCAGTGGTGCCATATTGATGGTCTCAGGAATTCCTCCGGTGTTTGGCCTCTGGAGATGAGGTCTACTGGATTGTCCGTGGTCGGCACATGTCGCCAATCCGAAATGGTCGTTTCGCTCTGAATCTCAGATATCCGGTTGGCGACGAAGGTTTTGAGCAGGTGTGGCGACGTCCGTAGCCAGTGTAAAACGATCGCGGAGTCGGTCCAATAGAAGGTGCGATTTATGGTAACCTGTAATGCCTTTCGTGCGGTAGCGACTAGAGAAGAAAGGAGTAATGCTCCACACAATTCCAACCGAGGGATCGATTGGGTTTTCAAAGGCGCCACCTTGGATTTCGCTAACAGAAGCTCCACCTGACAATTACCATGTGTATCTGTTGACCGGAGGTAAACACAGGCTCCGTAAGCTCGCTCGCTTGCGTCGCAGAAGCCATGTAGCTCAATGTGCACGGGTTCATTAATAATGGTCTTCCTATGAAACGTGACATTGTTCAACAGTGGCAATTGTGTGTAGTAACGTACCCATTCGGTGTGTATGGTCATTGGCAGTGACTCGTCCCAATCGACCTTCAAGGTCCAGACCTTTTGTAGCAAAACCTTTGCTACTATTATAACCGGACCGAGGAGGCCTAAGGGGTCGTAAATTTTTGCAATCACTGAGCTGATGGAGCGTTTAGTAATGGAGTTTGTGGATACGGTGTTCGCCACGGAATATCGGATTGCATCATCAGTTGATTCCCAGACGACCCCTAATGTTTTTATAGTAGATGATTCTCCTAAATGCAGTTTTTTGTGAATATGTTGTTCCGGGAGTCTCTGTAAAAGTGGTTTGTGATTCGAAGCCCATTGTCGAATGTGTAACCCGGCTGATTTTAGTAGTTGAATCATTTGTTCTCGTAAGATTAATGCTTCTTCTATTGATGAGGTTCCTGTAAGTAGATCGTCCACGTAGAAGTCTCGTGTTAGGATTTGAGCAGCGATGGGAAATCGATGTCCCTCATCTTCCGCGAATGGCTAAATATGGTGCTGCCGATAGGCCGAAGGTGACTGTATTTAATTCGAAAGTTCTCAATTCACCGTCGGGATTGCGCCAAATAATTCGTTGATACTTCCGGTCTTCCGGACGGACAATGAATTGTCGATACATTTTCTCGATGTCTCCGATCAAAACGAAACGATGACTTCTAAATCTGATAAGGATGAGTAATAAATCTTCCTGAATTTTAGGCCCGATGTGTAACGTTTCGTTGAACGAAATACCGGTCGTTGTTGCTGCTGAACCGTCGAATACCACTCGCAATTTAGTGGTTTCGCTGGTGACCTTTGTGACGCCATGATGAGGCAAGTAGTAGCCGTCTCCGATTTCGTCGATGTCTCGCAGCTCTGACATATGTTTTAAGTCCAGATACTCTTGCAACACTGCTTGGTATTGTTGAGATTGATTTCGGTCGAATTGTAATCTTCGTTCTAAAGATGTCAGGCGTTTTAGAGCCCTTGTCTTGGACTCTCCCAATCGTGACAATCTGTCGTTAAATGGGAGGGCTACTATGTACCTTCCCTCGGCATTCCGTTGAACGTTTCGTCGAAAATGCTCCCCGCATACTCGTTCCGCGTCTGACCAACGTTGGATTTGAGGTCCATCTTCCAACTCCCAAAAACGAGTTAAGTCGTCTTGTACTGTTGTGGTCACGTAACAAAGGGTGTCCTGTAAACGTCTAGAAACTGGGGCACTCCCCCCAATGATCCAACCTAGTTTCGTCTTTTGTATAAATAAGTCCGGACCGCCTGGGTGTAAAAGGTTTATCTGTCCGACGCGACGCTTAAAAGAGAAAGGGCGACTCCGGCGCCTAACAACAGGTCAATGGAAGCGGGTATATGGAACGTAGGGTCCGCCAGTTGTAAATTCTTAGGAATATTTATGAGTGCACGGTCAATAGGCTGGTCTGGAATGAATGAGGATATTGTCGGTATTGTCAAAAAAGTCAAAGTCCGTCTGAAGTTATTGGTTTTTGATTTTAAGGTCGTCGTAACTGTGTGTTTCGAGATGGTCGTCATGGTATTAAGAGCTCCAATTGGTATTGAGCATTTCCCTAATGGAATCCCTAACCGTTTGGCGAGAGCCTCGGTCATAAAGTTCGCCGACGCACAAGTGTCGATGAGCGTTCGACACGGGACCTGTTGGTGATACTTATTCAAAACGTAGACCTGTGCGGTTGCTAAAAGGTCTTGAGAACCTGCGTCGACAATAAAGGCTTAATGACCTGTCGAACCTATTGAAGTTTCTGATACTAGTCAACTAGAATGCCGTAGGTTTTCGTTTGATGAAGTTGAGCATTGTCGAGACGCTGGTTCTGCGGTCCTGACTGGTTGGTGCAGTAAGGTGTGGTGCTACCGGTGGCAGATGCGACAGGTGCTGCTGGTACAGGTGTCAGCGCTGTGCTCGTCCCTGAAGCAATTCTGACACAATGTTGTCTTCCGAAAGGCTGTGATCCTCTCATGCGCTGGTAGTCCGTGGAACTTCTCACAAGTACAAATGCCGTGATCGTCGTTGCAAATTGGACACCGCCTCAGCGGGTTCGTTATGGTCGTTTTATTCCTCGGTCTACGTTCGTCATACGGATGATGACGAGACTTCGCGGCTAAGAAGGCGTGACCTCGTGATGGTCGGTGTTTAGGAGTTCGCAAATTTCCTGAGTGACCCGCTACAGGTCGTTCGGGCGGTGGAGCTTTCGCGCTTGACATCAGCGCGCAATTTGTCCGTTTTTCCAGGAATTCTAGCAAGTCTGTGTAGGGTGGTACCTTGCGTTTATCCTTCAACGAGAGCTCCCAATGCCAAACAGTGTTCGAATTTATTTTCGACAGGATAATTGACAAAAGGACGCTATTCCAGGCTAATACATCTTCACCTAAATTCATCAACGCGCAAAGATGCTGATTCATAGTGTCCACCAAATTGCCCAATGCTTCTGGTGAATCTTTGACGAGTTTTGGGATATCGCGAATTGCATCACAATGTCCCAAAATGATGCGGCGGGGACAATCGAACTTTTGTCGTAACAAGTCGGTGGCGTCTCTATAATTCGCATCGGTGGTGCTTAATGCTTGAATGCATGCGGCCGCCTTATCGGTAAGGGTTGATCTTAGGTATTGCAAATTTTGTACCGGAGTCAAATCCTCGTTACGGTCAATCGTAGACGAAAAGATATTGTAAAACGAGGCCCATCCTTCAATTGCACCGTCGAACGTCGGTAACCGCATTTCGGGCAATTCAATCATCATCGGTGCCGATGTAGATGACGCCGGTGACGAGTTGATACCACGTGTCGCGGAATCTGTCGGTTGTCCATTGTGTAATAGACGATTCGCTCTAGATGTAGCGGAACAATAGTTGTTCTGGATCTCGTACCGACGCGCACCTTCAGACTCATCTAATTCTTCAATACAAAATTGAATATCATCGAATTTCTTCCATGACACGTTGAGAACATTTAGATGAGTTTGTAACAGGAATGTGTCGCGCGAATCAGACTCTTCGTAGTAGTCAAGGAAGGTCGTCAGTGAGGAAATCTGCCCGATAATGTTTCCGCGTTTTCGTCGCAACGTACTAATATTTGAACCTCGTGTAGCGGTTTGCGCGTGGCTAGAGCTCGCGGAATTGTTCGGCATCGTGATGCGAGTAAGGTGGAACTTTGACGAATGGTACAAACAAACGATCCTACCTTGTTGTTTCACCGATTACTGCGTTGTAATCCGTTTAGCGTCCAAATAGGTCCTCGCGAACGAGGACACTCACTGTGTTCCAATGTTTGTTGCCGTCACTGACACTTAATCCAAATGTGGCACTAAGTGACACTCACTCCTGTTTCTTGCACTGTATTGCACTGATAATCCGGGTATCCGGCTCGAAGGACCAATGTTTCAGCGCGAATCCGCGGTGTAATTATCGAACCGTTTGGTATGACGCGGGTTACTACACCGCGACGTGTCGCACTTCCTTATTATTTCTTACAATGATAAGGATATTAACTTCAAGATATTTTACTGTTAAAGCGTTTACTTCGTTGTGTGTTGTACAATTGTTCAGATGTGTGAATGTTTGAATGTGGTTTAAACAGAGCTTATATAGCTAGGTCGGAGTGTAACTATTAAGTTAACGAGTGCTGACCGATTGCTCAGGAGAGCTGTCTAAGAACTGTTCTTGTTCAAGTTCTGTAAAAGACTGCCGAATTCAGTCCCCTCCAAGTTCCAAGACGCTTTTCTAGAAGCCGCAGAGAGAGCCCAGCGAGAGAGGCGTTTACCAAAAGTGACCAATTAGTAAACGTTTGGGGTTTAACTAATGGCAATAGGTCGAAGTGTTCAGCAAATCAGCTCGCTGGACAAGTGCCATGTAGGCCCGACAAAACGCCCAACAGCTGCGATGCACGTGGGGGTCTTAAGGTGCGTGTTTGCACAGAACCGGCGGTAACTTCAAGGCAAGGGCGACTGTGGGCTCAGAAACCTCTGTGTGGGTTTGATATATGGTCATGGTGACCGGTGGTGCCTTGAAGCAGAGCGCAGTGACGGTTCATGATCGTTGTTGGGTCAGTATGACTCGCAGTGACACGTGCACAGCAGAAGGGGGCTGTTTGGAACTCGGAGGCGCAGGCATGAAAGAAAGCTAAGCCGAGCCAACAGAAAGGTTTGAGCCTTTGTTTGAATTGGCTACGACTCATGCACAAAAAACGTAGGAAAAGCCCGTAAAGATTGTAAATTGCTTGCCGCGAGCTCGAATACAATACAAATCTCCGAACAGAGTGTACTGAATTTACGGGCCTTGTCCTGAAGAGGATCTGGTGAATATTGGATCTTTACGTTTGACACGATAATTACTTCGATACGTGACAAACTCCACTCCGACCAGCTTAAGACCTTTTCTAATAGCTAAAAACTACGTTATTGAGCATGACCAACCGTGCTTCTAATTGGTGTAATAATTCATTGGTTTATGACTTTACCGTTGTTACAATCTTTATAAAGTAAATATAGACGTAACGGGACTGTGAATTACGGTGAATTTATTGCTTTCAATGGTTAATACTATTTGATTGTCAAGTACATGAGGTTGAAGTTGGACGTCAGCTTAGTTCCGCGATCTGGTTACAATGCCGCGAAACATCGAGCTGTGTAAAAAACCACGTGTTGGCGCAACACGTGGCCACCACGAAATTATATTTATTTCGTGGATTTAGCGAGATTACAAACTCACGCAGTCGCGTAGGCCGTCGGCACTGTTATCGCGAGTAATTTTCGAGATTTTTGCGCTTGAGATCGATACAAAAGTATGAGAGTTCGGAATTACTATTTCGCACGTGGTAGCTTCTACTAGAAACAGAACGATAATGGCCGCTCAACCGGCCTCGTCGCAGCGAGAACCGTTGGCTTTCTTCTCGCTGACGTAACGCATGCTGATTGGTCGGCCCGACCGGCATCCAAGGTGGCTGCCGGTCGCGCTGTAGAGTGCTGCCGCGGTCCGTGTGAAGGCGGTAGGAGTTACATTTTCGAACAGCAATCAATGCATTGTTTAATGATAGAGCGATTGCAACTCGAAAAGGACTTATGAACTGGTTTGAAAAATGGTTTAACAGCCAGGATAGCGAGATTTAAATCGTTAAGAGCAGAGTTACTCAGATCTGTAAAAATAGGTGAAGGTCAAGGGAGAACAGGTGCTGAATCACACGCATTGTCATCTTTTATCTGGGAGGACGTAGAATCAGCTTTCCATAACCGGATAACTACAGGAATTATAATCAACACCGAGCATATTGACCCACGAAACTTTTTGGAAGATGCTAGAAAAATAGTATTCCAACGTCTAGCGGAAGTTTTCCAAAATCATTTATGCATAAAAGTGAATACGGTATTCTATGGGGAGTTTACCATTAATAATAAAAGCGATGTGAAAAATTTGATTGCGAAAAATAAGCAATTATTTTCTACATCGAACTTGAACGATTGGTATGACAAATACGTTGTGAACTCAACCTTAACACTGCTGGAAGAATTTCAGGAACGGGACAACGGTTGGGCGTTATCGAAAATTCTGCATTTGATGTTAAATATCAATAAATGCAATCCGATGCACGCTGGTTATTACACCGACATACCAAAAACAATTAAGGACAAAAGAGTAGTAGTAAATGTGGCAATTGACGATGATACATGTTTTGTCAGATCGATAGTTGCAGCATTATATCCCGTCTATATGAATGCACATCAACATATCCTAACTACGACACCGTTTTAAATTTGGAGGGCATCGCATTTCCAGTAATGCTTAATCAAATACCAAAATTTGAGCGTCAAAACGATGTTTCGATAAACGTTTATTTCTGAGACTTAAATATGAAAAAGTGTGTTCCGCTCCAACTTACCACCAACAAAAGATTTCGTCACGTTAACCTGCTGATACTTGAAACCCCCAACCATAATGTGCATCACTTTTTTTCTTTTGTACTAATGTAGTTACTTTGTTTATACGCAGATGTCTTCACTACTTTTGTGCGGAAGAAAAGTTATTGAAACATACGAAGGACTACATGAAGATGAACGACTGTGCAATCATTCTACCGTCGAATGAGGATAAATTAATAAAGTTTGATAATTTTTGTCACCGAGAACGTCATCCATTCATCGTGTACGCCGATTTCGAATGCTTGCTTAAGAAGGTTAACGGCAACATCAATCAAGGACACTGTAGTGCACACCAGCAGCACGGAGCATACAGTGTGGGATATTATTTTCACTGTTTGTACAAAGCATCGGTGTGTGAGTATCGCACGTATCGGGGTCCTGATTGTGCTGCATGGTTCGTGAATGAATTTGAAAATCTTGTAAGAAAAATTGCACCATTATTTAATACGATTGTGCCCATGACAAATTTGACGGATGATGAAAGAGAAAATTATATGAATGCAACGCATTGTTATATTTGCAAAAAACCGTTCGACCGTTCGAAACAAAAGTTCGAGATCATTGCCATTTCACTGGTCGTTACCGAGGACCTGCTCATCAGGGATGTAATTTAAATGATAAAAATAAACGTTTTACACCGATAGTGTTTCATAACTTATCGGGATACGATGCACATTTTTTAATAAAAGAATTGGTAACGATTATCGAAAGTTCGATATCAGTCTTGCCAATTACAAAAGAAAAATATATTTCATTTTCAACGATTGTGAAACGTTATAAAATTTTGCTTCGATTTATAGATTCATTAAAATTTTTAAGTTCAAGTTTAGATAAATTGAGTTCGCATTTAGAGAAAGACGATATGACGATTTTACGATCACAATTTAATTTTTTGGATGAAATAAAATTCGATTTGCTTACACGAAAAGGCATCTGTTACGCCCCACCTGATGGGTGGTTATTTTACTGTTGATACGTTCTTCGGGTTCTGCCGATTAAAACGCTAAGGCGTACCTTGACCTTCCTTTCGGGTAGAATAGGATACAGGATGGGCGTTCAGTAATTGTAATACACATGTATGGTTCTTCAATATTGATATATACATATTCTGTCTCTGTAGTTACGTACTCTTTGTTGACTTGAGGTGTTGTATGTCACTCGCACGTTCTTGTATCACTCGCTGGTCATTCACACTAGAGGTCTTGTTTTACACTTACTTCGCGTTTCGGACGGAACACTAGACTCGCGGCGCGTGGCTACGACTCGACCTTGGAGATACAAGTGGTTGGTGGTGGTCCTGCACAGCACACGGGTGCACTCCTGGAACTGGTCCAATTATGGGTCTGTTATCTCAGACCACGGCGATACACTCGTGTTGAACCGTCGGCCGAGCACGTCGTTGATGATCTTCCTGGTTTCGAGTAGCCTTACACGCGGGTCTATTGCGGGTCACGAAACGGGCAGAACTTCGTTTCTGCTATACGCTATTACGGAACTGCGTACTTGCGTTGCGTCGATAACTTATACTCCCAAAAGGGAGTAGGTCACGCTCCTTGCTTGCGAAAACCTGCAAGCAAAGGGTTTTCGCCATCGCATTCCGGGAGTTCTCCGATTTCGTATCGCGGGCGTCGCTAAGCGAGAAAACGCTGATGTTTCGCGGATTCTAGAGCAAGACCTCCTTGGAATGGCAAAAGACGAAAATGAGTTATAACTAGGGACGTAACACATCTTTCCATACGATTATGTTACCGACTATATGAAACTGAATGAGACAACATTACCGACATGTGACAAATTTTATAATCAACTAAGCGACTGCGCCGTTTCACCGCAGGATTATGACCATGCGATAAAAGTCTGGCGCAGTTTTAATATAAAAACACTTGGCGAATATAGCGATTTATATCTAAAAACAGACGTTTTATTATTAGCCGACGTTATTGAAAATTTTCGTAGCAGCTATTTGAGAAGTAACAAATTGGATCCTGCATATTACTATACTTTACCCGGTTTTACGTACTGAAACACACTCGTATCGAATTAGAATTATTGACAGATATCGATATGCTACTTTTCATAGAGCGCGGCATACGTGGCGGTTTAAGTAAATGTTCTAATCGATACGCAAAGGCCAATAATAAATACATGGATTCGTACAATTCCGAAGAACCATCGCGATATTTAGTTTGTTTCGACGTTAATAATTTGTATGGATGGGCAATGTTGCAGTATCTACCTTACGGCGAGTTTAAGTGGTTAAACGATAATGAAATTAAAACTTTTAACATTCATGCGATATCCGAAAATTCGGACATTGGATATATTTTGAAAGTCGATTTGAAATACCCATTAGAATTACACGATGAGCATGCAGATTTACCGTTTCGCCCAATACGCGAGAAGCCTCCTAATGCCAAACATGAGAAACTACTTGCTACAGTTCAGGATAAGCAACGTTACATCATCCATTACCGCAATCTTCAACAATGCTTAAATCATGGCTTAAAAGTTTCTACAATTCGCGAATACATTAATTTAAACACGCAACTTAGAACTGTAGCTAAAAATGATTTTGAAAAGAATTTATTTAAATTAATGAATAATGCAGTCTTTGGCAAAACTATGGAGAATGTTAGAAATCATATAGACGTTAAATTAGTTACACAATGGTGTTTGCGCGTTACGCGCTTCCGACATATCACAACATATTTTGTAACACGCGGGGAGTTTAGGAGGCGTGCGATATTAGTAGCAAGCGGCTGAGGCCCGGATGTAGGGACGAGTGCGTTCGTCATGGAAATAATAGTTCGTGGCGATGCGCCGAGCGTCGGCTTAAGCCGAGTATCCACCTGTATCAAACGCCCGTATCGTATCACCGTTCCGAACCCTTTTGAATAGGCAGACGTTGCCTCGTTGCATGCCACGGCGTGCTACGGCTCGGACAATATTTCTTCGTTTCTTGAAAGAAACTCCTATAGGCGAGAAGTTTTGATTTCCTGCATGCTGTTTCTTTATTGTAATTGTCCTAACCATATCGTGTTTGGTATCATTTTAATCAGAAAAACGTCACAAATATCTTGGTAAAAGTTTTATAAGAAAAAAATGAAAAATAACAAAGTTCAGTCATTGCATTAGTATTATCTCACTGATATATCCGATTCCAGATCATATTATCTCGAGCCTCAAGTGTCATGTTTCCACTTGACATAGCATTTCGGGCCTTCGCCTGGGTATGTTGTTTTTACGTTTCAAGTGGTCTCCGAACCTATCCTTTGAACAGCAAGAAACCGACAATTTTCGGATCGGCCCGTTCCTTCACCTCCGTATCACAGCCCAATAGAACTTTCGATATTCGGCAACGGAAAAATCTCTGGATAATTAACATTGTCCTTTTTCAATAATCACAGAGGTTCTTATTAACATTGCTCTTTTATGTACAGCGTATCACCGAAGATAATTGATCTGTTTAAATATATTTAGACGATAAAATTTGTCTAAATTAAATTAGATTAAGTTCATAAATAATTTCATCGATTTTGAAATGAATCCAATAATACTGCAAGATTTCAAATAAATTGAAACCCAAGTGACGGCATGAAACGCTATGTCAAGTGCAAACGCATAAACCTTTCCTTCGACACAACGGCAAAGAATCGACAAATTTTTCGGATGGGTCCGTTGCCTCCGTTCCTTTGGAACGGCACGCAGCAAAACGAAACTCCTCGCCTGTAGTGGCCCAGTCCTATTGCCGAACCGTTTCTATCAAGAAACGAAGAAATATTGTCCGAGCCGTAGCACGCCGTGGCATGCAACGAGGCAACGTCTGCCTATTCAAAAGGGTTCGGAACGGTGATACGATACGGGCGTTGGATACAGGTGGATACTCGGCTTTATGTGCGGTGATATGAAAAAAAGGAGGGAACGGTACGGGGACGATAGGAGCGAAGTTCGGGTTCCTGCGGGGCCGCGGCCTTTTCCGGACAGATACACAAGCTGGACGAGGCACTGGCTGCTTTCGTAGAGGAGATCTGCCCTGCCAATCTCTCTCTGGGATGCACCCAATCAGGCGGCATTTCATTGCCCAAACAGCAACACGCGACGAGGGCTGTACCCGTTCCTGAGACGTCAGGGTCGCGCTGTCTGCACAGGTACGATTTCATGGGGCATCTCCCACGTTATTAAGATCTGAACAGAATTTCCCACCAAGCTGGTGGTGTTCCGAAACTCGTGTAGTTAGTAAGAGCGCTCTATTGAAAATAATATGTATGCTTTCGAATGCGATCACGAACAACTATCAATTGTATTTGACCTGTTGATTTGTATTTTTCTCCTTGACGGCTTTTTCCTCCACTCACTGAGTGGAGGTTTTTTATGCCCATTAAATTCCTAATTTTCCTTTCCAACTGTGCCTTTATTATTTCCTCT